TATCTGTAGCAGTGTGCATGTTCTGGTCTAACCCCATTTGTAAGTTAGAATTGAGGTGGGGGGAAGGAAGCACCAAAGAGTTAGAGGAAAGTTGTATGTTTCATCGGTGTTATACTGCACCCTGACTGGCTCATCTCTTCCCTGTGACTCCTCTGTGAGGGGATGTCCAGTTGTCTAGAGATTGGCATTGGGTTTCCACTCCATTACTCTCCCCGCCCCATTCACCTTGGATATGGTTTTATTCTGGGTCTTATATGCCTGATACCTGATCCCATCGATACCTTGTGATCACATAGGCTGGTGTGCTTCTTCCATGTGGGCATTGTTGTTTCTGAGCTAGATGGTTACTTGTTTATTTTCAAGCCTTTAAGACCCCAAATGCTATATCTTTTGATAGCCGGGCACCATCAGCTTTCTTCACAACATTTGCTTATGCACCTACTTTTTTCTATATGTTAAGAATTAAGGTTGCAGATGGACATTGGGCCTCAACTCAAGTACTCCCTTAACATAAGAACCCTTTGTTCTAACAATCCGGTATTCTGTGAGGCTCACAGAATCGTTCCTGTCTTTCTAATGTCTTTTGCTTCCTTTCTAAAGGATGGTCTTGATGTCCTCACACAGCTCATCAGGTCTTCTGCCATCAGAGTTCAATGCATCAAATTTGTTCTTGAGATGTTCTCCAAATTCAGGTGGGATAGAGCCAAGATCTATCTGTTCCCATGGGCTTGTTTTCATTTTCTTCAGCTTTATCCTGTACTTATATATGAGCAATTGAGGGTCTGTTCCACAGTCAGCTCCTGGTCTAGGCTTAGCTGCTGATATTGATATCATATCATAATGGACTACAGTATTATTATCCCATGACTCACTCTCACTGCCATGGAGCCAGTGCTGGCCCACAGCCACCCTGTAGGATGGGCTAGAACTGCCTCCTGAGCTTCTGAGATGGTGATTGTTTACGGGAGCAGAGGACCCATCTTTCTCCTGCAGAGTAGCTGGTGATATTGAACTTCTGACCTCTTGGATCTCAGTCCAATGCATAACCACTACACCACCAGGGCTCCCGTTATCCCACCAGTCCCCTCTAAAAAGGAATGCTGCCACGTGGACCTTGAAAACGTTATGCTAAGTGAAAGAAACCTGCCGTGAAAGAGTAAACGTTGCATCTATATGAAATGCCCAGAACAGGCGAATACAGAGACAAGAAGTAAATTGGTGGCTGCATGGGGCTGGCGGTGGAGTGGGGTGGGGAGCGGGGTGTTAGAAAGTGATAACTGAAGGGTATGGGGTTGACGGACAGGGAGAGCATGAACATGCTATAAACTTATTGGAGGGTGTTGCTTACTGTGAGTACACTGAAAACCACTAAACAAGTACACTTAAGGTCAGTTAGTCCAACCAATTTCGACTCCTAGTGACCCAGGAGGGCAGAGCAGAAAGTATACAAGAGCAAACTGCCAGGTGGCAAAGTAGGTGACACTTTGGTTAGAAAGCTCCAGGTAAGCAGTTCACCCACCAGCCACCCGGGGAGAAAAATAGGGCAGTTAAGAGTCTTGGCAACCCACAGGGGCAGTTCTATTCCACCTTATCGGGTCACCAAGTCGGGATCGACTGGAGGGCAGTGTGTTTGGTTTTTTGGGACGGTCTCCCGGGGGCTAACCACCCTTTCTGTTAGCAACGAATGCTTCACCACGGCGCCACCAGGGTTCTGTGCATGAGTGAATTGTGTGTCATGCGATTAAAATTCTCAATGTCGTCCGAGGAGGGTAGTGGGGATCGAGCTAACTGCCACCACAAAGCACCCGGCCCAGGCAGTCGCCCTATCTCCACCCCTCCCCGCCAGCAAGCTGCAGGGCCTGATGACTCAAAGGCTGTGCTGTAACTGGAGGAGAGGTCACGGAACCAGGGCGTTTCAAGCTTCTCCAGAGGTCCCCAGGCGTCAGTGGCCCAATCCACCTCCTCCCGCGAAGGGTCCTGAAGGCCTCCTAGGTGTGAGTGGGGAACAGACACCTCTCCGTCCTGAGCGAGCGCAGGCCTGGGGGACAGACACCCGGGGGACAGACACCTCTCCGTCCTGAGCGAGCGAGCGCAGGCCTGGCCCAGGCGCCCACAGGGGCAGGTCCCGGAAGGACCCGGGCGGCCGACCGGGCTCCTAGGGCGGGTGGGGCGGCGGGCGAGGCTCACAAACCGGTCCCACCACACTCCCCGCCAGCCAGCTGCCGGGTCCCC